AAAGATATTCATAAAAAATAACAATTTTGAAAAATATGTTTAAAGTTGTCTGTCATAAGTTCCTTCAACTAATTTCGTAAAATTCCATGCTTTTTACCAGGATGTCTCTGAAGCAAAGTTCTTGTATAATCCTTGATTCTGGAAAGTTTTTCGTCCCGATTTTTTGGTCTTGAGGTCTGGTAAAATTTTTCTTTAAAAAATCAGCAGATGTTTGAAAAATTCTTAAAAAAGATCCTGCAATAAGTCTAACGGCCCTATAACGTGGAGTCATTGATACTTTTTTTTAAATATGCGAATATGAGCCAGAAAGTCCTTGAAAAAAATATTAAAAACCCTTTAAGACTTCAGTTGGGCGACCCATAAAAATGTAATAACTTTTTTTTTTTTAAATGATTAAATTGAAGATAATTGCTTTCAGTCCACGATTTTTTGTCGTAAGGCCCACTAATTTTTTTTCAAAAACCATGCGTTTGGTCTGGAGTTTTTTTTTTTTTAATTTTTTAAATAATTCATAATTTTTGATCAAAAAGTCACGTAAATTCAAGAAATTTGGCTAGAAAGTTCCCGAAAATATTCTTAAATGCTAAATTTACGTCTGTCCAGGATGTCCAAAAAATACAAGACTTTTAGTCAGAATGTCCTGAGTCTAGAGGTCTTTAAAAATTATTTTTATATTGTGTTGGCCAAAAGGTCCTAACATTTTGTTTCTTAAAAGATGTAAACTATATGATGTCGAATGAAGTTACTACAGTTCGAATATCAGGGTATCAATGAATTTAAATTGAAAAAATATATATAATTTTGGCAAAACTGAAGCACTGACACACATGGGATATTATGTATCCTTCAGTTATGTATTACGTAATTTGACTTTTGATGTGAACTTCAAATCCAGAGAGAAACAAATCGTAAAATATAGAATTCCTTAAAATGTCTAATCCCCACAACAAATAAAATTCCCTTTGCTATCTTTTTGCTTTAAAGCTACATTTTCAAACTTTCTGTTTTGTTGGAAATGACAAACAAAACAAATACCAAAAAAAAAAAGAAAGAAAGAGATTCTGGTTTTAGGCTCATTAAATATTAACTTGCAATAAATCTTGTAATTTTTAGCCATCATTGTGGGTAAGTTTTTGGCAAGAAACAGATGTGCGTCACGTTCATAAATCAAATTCTAAAACAAGAAAACATAAGAAAAACAACACAATAAAATGTCATAATTTATGCATAAATTGGATGAATGGAGAAAATAAAGTAAACAAAATAATATTTCTTTAAATTTATGAAAACAACAGAAATGGTGGTGGGTCAAATTGTGTTTTTTTCCAAGAGAATAAAGTTTGTCTAATTTAAAATGCAAAGGAACTAATGTTTGCCATATGATTTGGGGGGGCATAGCAAATGATCAAACAATTATTATTGTATGAGAATGCATGGAATGTAAACACCTGATGAAGAATCAGAAACTTATTTGACATAACATATCATATGAAAAATTGTACGACTTTGACGATGAATAGCATTAACAAATTTTGAACCTCGGTTATAGCACAAAGTTGAAACTGCGGGTAATTCACTCGATTTTCAAAAGTTTTAACATTTTAAAACCAAACTGGTTACATTCACTATGAATACCTTATATCCTTACTTGTACGGTCCGCACACAACTTCTTTTTGCACAGGACTTATTTTAATGTTTGTTATCAAAATTTTTTTAAGTTAGCTGTCTTAATTTTTTTTTTTGGAGAATTTTGGTCATGTTGAATTTAAAAAATGCAATTCAAAATTTTAAGTCAGGTCGTTCCTGAAATTATCAGGAATTACCTGGAAAAAAAGTCTAAACATGTTAAAGTTAAAGAATATCAGTCGGTTTTACACCCAAATCTTTTTGCAGGAGGTCCGGAAATGTTTTGAGGAGGAGGACCGAACGGTCCTTGCGAAAAAAAATCCATCTTTGAAAACTATTTTTCTAAAAGTTGACTATATTTGATCAGCAGGAGTATCTTATAATTTTTTTCTTTAAAAAATCCACAACTCTTAATGAGGATATCCGTGGTAATTTTCTCTTAACAGTGTCCACGAATTTTGATGGAAAGGTTCATGAATATTTTACCTTCAAGAAAGTCACATTTTTTATTTTAAGTCAAAAACAACAAATGTGTTTAGGGACACGATAAAGAACTTTTTCCTTAAAAATAATTAAATGTGGTCCGACTGAAGTCCTTGACATGTTTTCTTTAAAAATCAAACACATTTTGTCACAAGACCCTTACAAAGGGTATTTTAGCAACGATTGTTGATCAAGATGTACTTAAGAATATTTCTTTAAAATTCACATTTTTTTTTTTTTTTTTTGATTAGAAGGTGCTTGAAAACTGTTTGTTTTAAAACTATAGAAAATAATGTCCTTCAAAAATTTTAGTCATGAATTCCTTAAAAATAAAAAACAAAATTTTAGTAGGGAAGTCCTTAAAGATTAATTTTTTAAAAATGCACGAATTTCGGTCAGGAGTGCCTTAATTTTGAAATTTTAAAAATTTGTTTTCATTTAAAATTTCTCCATAATTTTTTAAAATATTATTTTATGAAATAAAAACACAATTTTTACGCGAGGTCCTTGAATAATATGTATTTCAAAATTCACTGTTTTCGGGAGGCGCAGTTTAACTTTTTTTTTTTCATAAAAATTAAGATTTTCAATCAGGATATCCTTGAAATATATCTACTGTTACGGTGTCCTTCAAAAAATGTTCTTTAAAAAATCCATGACTCATAAAATAATATATAGAACAAAACAAAGTTGCTTTAAAAAGATAGAAGTTATTTCTTAAAAAATCACTATTTCTGTTTGCAAGGTCCTTGAAGACTACTTCTTTAAAAAATCACGGTTTTCAAGTAGGTTTAGTTTATTTATTTTTTTTACAAATCAAGATTTTTGATTTTTTGAAACTTTTCCTTAAAATACACTTACCGTTACGGTGTCCTTGAAAATAAAACAGCTTTCTTTTCAGAAGGTCCTTTATAATCAGTATGTGTTTTTCCCAAAAATCTACATTTTTTGTTAGGATATCCTCAGGATATAATTGTTAAAAAGGTACTTTAAAATTGTCTATAAATAATCCGTAATTTTTAGCTCCTTGGCATCTTTTTATTAAAAAAACAATGATTTTCAGATAGAAGGTCTTTTAGAAAAGTTTTCTTTTACTTTAAAAACAAAACAATACAACATTTTTACCTAAAGGCCAAAATCGTGAACATTTAGATTTTGGTAACAAGGTCCTAAAAATACAGTTTTGTTTAATTTTGTGGTCATAAGGTTTTCGAAAAATTATTCTATAAAAATTTACTATGTATGGTCAGGTTGTCTTTGAAAACATATGTTTTTTTTCGTGAGCAGGTCTTAGACGATTTGTTTAAATTATGTTCTTCTACTTCTTTTTTTGGCCAAGCAGGGCTTGAGCAATTTTTCTTTACAAAATCCACAATTGTCGGTATTACGGTCCTTAAAATATATATAAAAAAACCAAAAAAAAAAATTTTGATAGGGGGTCCTTGGTTAGATTTACTTAAAATTCCACACTATATGGTCTGAGCGTGAACAAATAAAATACATAAGATATAATTCTTTGTCGTTTGGTCTTCAAAACATATATTTGTTTTTAAAATTGAAAATTTTTAGTCATGTTGGCCTTAAGAACGCACCATTTTTGGTCAGGAGAATTTTAATGATTGTTTTCTCTGAAATATCTAATTTTTTGGTCAGAATTTCCTCTTTTTTTAAATAGTTCTATTCTGTGGTCAAGAAGCCATTTTTTTCGTTAAAAGTCCAAAATTCTGGATCAAGGTCCTAAATGTTTTTCATCAAATCAGCGATTTTTGATCTGAATATACTTGAAAAAGTTTTTCTTTAAAAATCCATGATGTTTGGACAAGAGGTTCTTGTCAAAATATTTGTTAAATACATATATATATATATATATATATATATATATATATATATATATATATATATATATATATATATATATATATATATATATATATATATATATAATTTAATACGGCCAAAACGTGCCTCATCGAAATAACGGTTTCAGACCCGGGGTCTCTTTGGACCAAATCCGTATCGGGACATTTGTCCGTCCGTCTGTCTGTCTGGCTGGTGCGCACGATAACTCTCGAAGGGAGTATCCGATTTGATCCAAAGTTGATACATCGTAATATTATTTTCAAACTTAGATCGAGTTCGGAGATGGGCAATAGCGACCCACCCCTTCTGGTATCTCCCCTACAAAATGTCAAAATTGCCAAAAAATATAATTAATTGCACAGAAAGAGAAAGGATAATCCGATTTTGCACAAACAAATCCTAATATTTTCATCAGCGCTAGGTCAGGTGCGAAAATGAACAATATCGGTCCACTCCATACCTCCCCCACAAAGAGTCAACATATTGAATAATTACAACTCTTATAAAATGTGATGTAGGAGTCCGATTGTCTTCAAATTTTTACACATCCCAATAATTTAATTAACCCAAGGTCTGGTGCCAGCATAGGTCCACTCCTTCTGATACCTCCCTCACAAAAGGTCGAAGTTTTGAATATCCATTAAGCTCATAAAACGCGAAATTAATATGCGATGCACATCTGAATATTGCTATCAACACTGGATCGGTTATAATAACGGTAGAGATCGGACCATTTCTTCAGGTACCTTTCTTAATCCATTATTTGTCATCAGATAAGAGTCAAAGCATATAAAAAGATTTTCCAGATTTTCTGCTTTGGAATTTTAGATTTTAGCTGAAATATTCTTCATTCCTGCTCATATTTTAAGATTAAGTTTTAAAAATTTTACTGTGACGAGGGAGAGTTTTACCCTCTCATGGTATTTTTTTATTCTATTTATTTTTTTTTTTTTCAATATCTCAAATAAGTCTCAATATAAGTTAATAATTCCAAATAAATAATTTATTTTCCATTTTCTTTTATTTTCAGATAACATTTAATTGAAACCACGCTCAAAGGCAATTCAGAAAAGCATCAACTCAACAACAAGTGATTTCTTAAAACAGCTACAGACTTTAGGTTGCAACATCCGTTCGTTTCCATTATAAAGTATAAAAAATTCACCCACAAAAATAAGTAACTTTTTAATGAACATAAAAGAGAATGTAAACAAGACCTTAAAACTATGAAAAAAATGCCTTCCTTCATAATAAAGAAATCTAATTAGTAACAAAATCAACAAAATATAAAAATTAAAACACAGACGGAAGAGCAGAACATCATCAACAACACAATACCAAAGGCACTCGAGAGGAAGCGAAAAAAAAAACTTTAATTTATAGGATATATATAAACAAAAATCATATACACTTTTTGTAATTGTTGTTGCTGTTTGGTCAATTCTTTGCACAATATTCCGCCACTTGAAAATTCCAACAGAACAATGCCTTTAATTGTACAACGGCAGCAGCAACAACAGCAACCACATCACTGCATACTTCAGGGCTCTCAACAGCAAATGCAACAACGCCAGCACACAGAAGAAGACGCTGAGGCATTTGAAGTGGAAGAAAATTGTACATGTGCAGCAACAACAAAAACAACAGCAACTTTAGCTAATAATAAAAATACAAACCAAACCATTATAGAAACAGCCACCGCCACAGCCAGTGCTACAGCCACATCCTCCTACATTAACAAAAACAACAGCAGAATGAATCAAATGCCTTTTAAGCGTGCTGCTGCTCATGTTCACAACATTCCAAAAGTTGTTGCCGATGATGTTGTTGTTGTTGGTATGAGTAAATGCTCCAGCATTGCCATGGATAGCCACAGCAGCACCATCACACCAATTATTGCAGGAGGCAATAGTAAAATGCAAACTGAACTTTCTTTTTATGGTGCTGGCATTCGAACATCAACAGAATTATTGCCAACACCAGCAGCAGCAATACCATCACCACTACCACCATCAACATCGTCCCCATCATCGTCACAGGCCATAATATCGTCAACATCGTCGTTTTTCGCTGGCATTTTGGCATCCAGCATAACCAATACCGCCATTACAACTTCTACCACCACTTCACAGCGCACGGCAACACATTCGACATTAGCAGCACCAGCAGCTGCATCTCTCGCCTCGCCATTGTTGTCCTCATCATCGGCGTTGTTGTTGCTGTCGTATTCGGAAGTGAAGAAGTATTGCCGGCGTTTTTTAACTGTAATTAGTCTCATTTGTTTGCTGCACTCGTGTCTGTTGTGGAATACCGCCGAAGCTGCCATTTCAAATCGAGGTAAGTGTTTTTGTGTTTAGTTTTGTTAATTTTCATGTTTGCATCTCCACAAATTAGAGGGAGAGAGTTGCATTCGCAACTTGTTTGCAAATGTGGCAACATTTTTAGGTATTAGTTTGGAAATGAAAAATTTAACGGTAAGGGGTATTTGTTTCGAAAACTTTTAACTTCACAAGCCTCACAGCAATTGATTTTATATTCTTGCATTGAGACATGGGGCATGGAGGATACGTTAAACAATGTCCTTGAAAACCAGTAAAGAAAGTCTTAAAGTCGGACAGCGCTGACTTTATGATACCCTACACCACTTTGCTAATTTAGTGGAGATCCGCATAACAATTAAAAGTTTTTATGGGAGAATTCAATCATACACGCTATGATTATAATTATAATTTAAAGTTCAAAGGACTAAATATGCCGAAGCATTTGTATCTTTTAAATTCGGACTTGTATTGCTCATTTGGTGCAGAATTAATTTGAAATTGGATAAAAATATATATGGGAGCTATATCCAAATCGGAACCGATCTCGATAAAATTTGGCAAAGATATTTCTGAGCTGTATTTGATATATTTCCCTGAATATCGTTGTTACGGAGTGCATATTACGCCTGTGGATAACAAATATAACAAATCGGATGAAATAGATGTGTGGTACTCACTACAAGTGCGTTTTCAATCTGGTAATTTTCTTTCTTTCAAATCTAGATCGAACTCGAACATAGAACTAGATTTTTTCAGAAAAAATATTTGTCATTCAAAGTATAGAGGGTCTCCTAATTTATTTAAATTTTATTGAGTATCGGATTTGTCAAATTTTCTGATATCACCGCAGAAAAAATTAACCTTTTCCGAAACATATGAATAAGGAGTACTACAATTGGCTAAGTCTTCTCAATATTAACATCAAACTTACCTCGTATGCGAAAATCTAAGATATTACCCATTTCTTCTGGTATAATGCTCTAGATCAATGGTGAAAATGGGATACATCGGTTCACTACTTCCTAATTTTGTCCCTCTAACTATTTTACAAACACTCACTCATCAATCCACAATATATAGAACCGTTTCTCTCTTTTCCCCTAGATTCCGTTACTGCCTTTTTCCTCCTTTTTTCCAAAAATAGGCTTTTTGCCATTTGTCCCTTTTTATACCCTCAGCCATATGGCTAGAGAAGGTATATATCATTTGATGTGGTTAAAACCTGCCTCATCGAAATAAAGGTTTTAGATCAGGAAATTTTGAATCGATCAATCTATGTCCGTCCGTCCGTCTGTATATCTGGCTGCTGCGCACGATAATTTTCAAAGGGAGTATCCGATTTGATCCAAACTTGGTGCGTCGTAAAATTATTGTCAAGCTTAGATCTAGGTCGGCAATGGGCAATATCGACCCACTGCTAGTACTTCTTCTGGTACCTCCCACACAAAATGTCAAAATTTTCAAAGACAAAAAATTTTGCTGCACAGAAAGAGAAAGGATAATCAGATTTTGCTCCATCTTTGCAAATCCAAATATTGGCATCGGTGCTAGGTCAGGTGCGAAAGTGGACAATAACGGCCCACTCCATCAAGTACTTCTTATGAAATGTTATGTAAGTGTCCGATTGTCTTCAAATTACACACTTCGAAAATTTTTATTAATCCAAGGCCTGGTGTGAAGATGGAATATATCGGTCCACTCCACTACTGGTACCTCCCTCACAAAGGGTCAAAATTGCGAATACCCATGAAGCTCATAAAGCGCGAAATAAACACACGATTCCATTTATACTTGGCTCATCCCAATACATGCATGAATACAAAATCTGATATTTAGTTAGTAGAGATCGGACCGTACCTTCTGATACCTCCCCCTCATCATCGGGTTCAAGATTTTGAAAAACAAAACGCTCAAAGATCGCCTAGTTTAGTACTCAATTTTTCAATATTAGTACAAATAAATAACCTTAAAGTACGAATTTCCAAAAATCCCCTTTTATCCCACCCACGAGTTTCGTACTCATGTCTAGGTCATATTGAATTGAAATATTGTGTACCTTCAGTAAAAATGTTCTTTCAGTACGATGATGTTCCATTTTGTAACTTATAGCATATTTAATAACCATAAAAAATTAATTTCCAGAAATCTCACCTTAGCCAAGAACGCCACACCCCCATATCTAGGTCTTATGGGTCACTCACAACAATTGTATACGATTCTGTACTTTAATAACCAATTTGGTACTTTTACTAATTTGCCTAAAAGTAATTTTACCATCAATGATCCTCATGAATTCCAAGACTTTAGATGAAGAAGATTAACCTCGGCTTTTATAATTTTAATTATACCCTACACCACAAGGTGGTCAGGGTATTATGTCTTTGTGCATTTGTTTGTAACAGGCAAAAGGAAACGAGATAGACCCATAGTTCCTTTTGATGATCTGCATAGAATCACATTCTGAGTTGATTTATGCATGTCCGTCCGTCTGTCCATGTATTTTTGTGAACAAAGTACAGTTCGCATTTATTGCCCTATCCAGATAAATTTTGCACAACTCATTTGTTTGGCCCAAGGACAAACCCTATTCAAATTGGAGATTATCGATCAAAATTTCGATATAGCTCCCATTTATATCTTCGTCCTATTTGCCTTTTATTGTTCACCAAACGTGTAATATCAGCCCGAATAGTATGGAATTTTGCACATATAATCAAATTAGGCCTGAAAATAAGTACGCCAAATTTAATCGAAATCGGTTCAGATATAGCTATATCTCCAACATATATATTGTTCATCCGATTTGTTATTTTTGTCCTCCGCACTCTGTAACAACAATATTTGGGGAAATATATCAAATACAACTCAAAACAAGTAAGCAAAGGCTATAGTCGTGCGGGGCCGACCATGTGATACCCTACAACACTAAAATATGTTAGAAGCCTCCTGATGTCAAAATCCATTTTGGAAGATTTCGCTTTTGAAATTATGTCACGGAACACTGCCCAGATATTACTAGCATTTTGACCAGGAACACTTAACCAATATTTACGAACTTCGTCGTGCTGTTAGTTGTAGTGGTCCATTTTACAGCTAAATATAATCCAATGGCCATACATAATGCTAGACTTCTTCCCTGTCCCTAACTTTTTTCTCAGGCGTGTGTTTTTGAATATTGTGCGATCATCTCCAAAAGCAAGAGGTCCCTCTGTATTTCTAAATTTAGACTCATCTATATGATTTGCTTGTCTGGGATATTTGGCTTTATTCGTTAACGAAATCAGCAAAAGTAGTCAGACAAAAGTAGTGGTTCATTCTTCCCGCTGTCCTAAACTCTAACTTCATGCGAGATTTCGTGTCCATTCGTTTCTATTTGTGACTTTATAACGGCTGCAAAATCAGAAACATTTTAGTTGTTGGTCCATTTCAACCCCTAAATATATTGCGGACTTTGAAAACAATAGGCCTAGCCCTTCTGAGCCTAACCCTACCCTTTTCGTGAGGATCGGACGATAATTGCAATCTTTATATAATATCCCAAACCTGTGTTGTAAGGTGGAAAAATATTACAAAATGTATACCTTAATATTATAAGTCAAAATGAAAAAATCGCATGCGATAAAAAATATGAAAAAATAAAAAAATGTCACAAAATACTACAAAATCTATATTAACATCATTTTTGACTTATTTTTATGCGATTTTTTTAGATTTTATACTTTTATGTCAAGAGCGCGTTCTGAATTGGCAAAATATGTCAAAATCGGTCCAGCCATTCTTGAGATATAAGCATTCCATCTAACATTCCTTTCCTTTGTATATACACATTGTATATATTTCGCTATATATATCCGATATATTTACTATCGGTATCTACGTAACGGTCAGAATTGACCTGTTCGTCTATTTATGATTTCGCCGGGACTAAAAATATTCGCGGTTTCATAGAAATTTTGACTTTTATTTAACACAAATGTATAGTGTTTTTCACCCACTAAATATTACCCGATGACCATCAGAATTGGAAGGCTTTTGCCCAGCCCGAAGCTCTAGCCCCATGCCAATTTCCGCGTCGATTGGTCCATAATTGCGACCTGTAGAGCAACTGCAAAATCAAGAAATTTTTCAGTTTTTGGTCCATTTCGACCCCTAAATATTATGCGATCATCTCCAAAAGAAATAGGGTTCTATTCTGACCTTAACCCCACCTCCATTGTAAATTTCGTGAAGATCGGGCCATAATTGCGACCTGTAGAGTGATTACAAATTAACATGGACAGACGGACAGACGGACAGACGGACGGACGGACATACATAGCTAGATCGACTCAGCTCGCCGAGCTAGGAAGATCCATATATACTTTCCTATGTGGGAAACCAATATTTCGTGGTGTTACATAATTTTTGGCCCAATCAAACTTATAATACCCCCAACACATAGTGTTGTAGGGTATAAATACATTTGCTAAATTTTATCGAGATCGGTTCAGATTTGGATATAGCTCTCATATATAACTTGGTCCGATTTACGTTTTATTGTGCACCAAACGTGTAATATTTGCCCAAATAGGATGGAATTTTTACCGAATTGAGTCTAGAAGCTAGTATGTCAAATTTGGTGAAAATAGGTTCAGATATAGCTGTAGCTCCCATATATACTGTTCATCCGATTTGTTATATTTTTGTTGCCCACAGCCGTAATAAGCACTCCGTAACAACGATATTCAGGGAAATATATCAAATACAGCTCAGAAATATCTTTGCCAAATTTTATCAAGAGTGGTTCCGATTTGGATATAGCTCTCATACATATATCAAATGGGCAATACAAGACCGAATTTAAAAGATACAAATGCTTTGGCATATTTAGTCTTTTGAACTTTAAATTATAATTATAATCATAGCGTGTATGATTGAATTCTCCCATAAAAAGTTTTAATTGTTATGCGGAGCTCTACTAAATTAGCAAAGTGGTGTTAAAATGTATTAAAATGTCGGCCCGCCCGACTTTAAAAC